TTATTATTATTATTATTATTATTATTATTATTATTATTATTATTATTATTATTATTATATTATTATTATTAATTATTATTATAATTGTCATTATTAATATTATGTTATTCACGTACGTCACGTGTTTTATGATGCCTTTTTTCTCCATTTACTGCATTTTTGGATGAAAACAATCTAATAGAATATGTTGGAAATTTGCAACATATTCAACAATAATTTTCACATCAATAAATATTTTTGATAATAACAAAAAAAAAAAAAAAAACAGGAATGAATTTCTTTCATTACGTCATTGCATTCCTTTCCTTCACTTATCTCTTTTTCCAATTCTATCCTATCATTTTGTTTACATTCAAAATTTATACAAATTTCTTTTTCTTAAAAAGAAAAATATTTTTTTTCTTTTTTCTTAAACTATTTATTCACCCCTTATAACCATATTTATGCATACTTATTGATCTGATAACAACTGTTCATCTTAAGGTTGTACAATTTCTTTGGTCATTCTAATGCTATAATCTGTTGACACTTTTTATAACTGATGGTTTTGATTCCTTTTATTCATTTTATTGATTTCAATTTTGCTAATTAAACGAGAAATTATTCGAGCATTTATGCCGAAAAATGTTTGCGAAAAAAAGAAAAATCAACAATCAGGAATTTGAATTAGGAATCAAAATCAGGAATTGCATTCAGGAATTTGTTTAAGTTGATTTGTTCGTTGTTGTTTGTTCAATTTCATATCACGAGTACAAAAATTTTTGCAAAAAAAAAAAACAAAAATAAAAAATCAGTAAGAGAAATGGAAGAGTGCAACTTCTCTGACACTACCAATTTCAATTGCTTCTTATTTCTATTACGTATTATCATCCAAAACTTATCATCGATCCGATGATATATACCCAACAGTTGCAACCAACGGAGATATTCTGAGATATTGGGAAAGGGTTGCCTCATATACGGGATTTCTGGTAGATAACAAAATGATTTCTCAGAAGAACTGTTACAAAAAGTTATTAAGCTATAAATGCTTAATGATTTCTCAGGAGAACTGCTTCTTTTTTTTTTTTTATGAACCATTTTATTTTTTTATGAATCAATTTTGTGAACCATTTTTTTTTTCTTAAAAGTCCTCGTTATAATCATAATTATGATCATTAAATTAATGAGAGAATTTATTTTGTTTTATTAATTACAGATCAATAAAAATAAGTGGTGTGATTACATCTTCTTCTATTACCATTTCTTACCTTTCCATTTCTCAGGTTTTGGCATCTTTTTCCATTTTTTTTTGTTCGAAATTCATTTGAAATGAACAGGTTTGTTTCCTTTATTTGTCCCTTTTTACTCATTCTAATGCAAATTTGATTTTTTCGAAAAAATTTTCCCAAAATGGATAAAATGATAAAGG